GATTGATTTTTTGTTTAAACTGAACTCTGTGTGGGCAAGTATGTTAAAATTGTTGTTGTAGATATATTTAATAATGCCTTTGCCATGTAAGCAGCCAGCTGACGAGAAGGCAACGAAATAAACACTGATGGTACCATATTATTCTGCTAAAACTGTAGTTCTTGCATTGTTCAAAAACTTGATTATTACACGACCAAATAAAGGCTTCCGAATCGTCTTGATAAACAAATCAGACTACCTGAGCAAACTCCGTGTGATACTATCTGATGATAAAAAGTTTCAGAAACAGTCTCCAGAGTAAGATGCCACCGAACAGACAGAGCTCCATCTAACAAAGATATTGAAGAAAATGAAAGAAGAATCCATTATCAGTTCAGAACTATACGAACAACTGTGCTTATCTGATTCTACAACGCCGCGCATATACGGCCTACCTAAAGTGCACAAACAAGATGTCCCACTGCGCCCAATATAGATATGATAGATTTCCCATATCATACAATCGCGAAATGTCTGGTAGAGATTCTTGCCCCGGTGAGGGAAAAGCTGTCAAGACATAACGTCCGTGACACATAAGACTTCGTTGATTCAATTAAGAATGTCAACGTGTGAGAAAAGAAAATCGTCTCCTCGGATGTCGTCTCTCTCATCACCAACGTTCCACTGACAGAAACCGTATGTTCCCTTTGTGACTATATTCAATCCAATAGCATCGATGTCGGTATACCGATCCATTACCTGAAAGAACTGTTAATACGATGCACCTTCAACGCATACTTTAGTTTCAACAAAGAAATATGCAGGAAAGTAGATGGAGTAGCAATTGGTTCTCTCTTAGGACCCATCCTAGTTGACGGCTTTATGGCTAGCTTAGATAACAACGCCTTATCACCAACTATCAACGACCTCCATCTCTACAAGAGATAAATCGATGATACTTTCATTATTTGTGATGAGAAATTTGATTAAAAAAACCTACTTCAAATCTTCAATAACGCCCACACAAACATTGACTTTACACTTGAGACTGAATCCGACGGAATGTTCCACTTCCTCGACGTCCATCTAACAAGAAACGCCAACATCTCTCTGAAGAGGTCCATGTACAAAAAGCCTACATGGAATGGACAATTTTATCAACTTTCAAAGCTCCGTGCCCCTAAACAGAAAGAGGAACCTGATACATGGTCTTTCATCGAGGATTCGGATGATATGCAGCAAGGAGATGATTGATGAGGAACTGAGTAATCTCCGAAAAACCTTAATGGAAAACGGTTTTCCGCTCAGGTTCAAAGACAGGAATCTCAAATCAAAGAAGACTTCCGAACAAGTCCAATCCGTCCCAAAGAAAATAGATCTGCTTAATCTAGAATTCAAGGGTGACAGTTAAGCAGAAATCTTTCATAAACGATTCTCCAAAACTTTGAGGAAGACATACTTCGCTGAGAGCCTACGACTAACGTTTTCCTGAAAGAAGCTGTTCAGCCAGAACGCGAAAGACAAGTTGTCGCATTGGGCCACTTCAACATGCATATACAAGTTTAGTTGCTCCTGCGGAGCTGAGGGTATCGGTCGTACCAGGAGCCAACTTGAAAAACGCGCTCGTGAACACTATCGAGCCTGGCTAGTAAAGTGAGACCAAAAACGTGTGTATATAGTCAATTCAGGACATTCAACAGTATGCTAAAAATCCTCCAAAGTAATATACAACATTCGATCAAACCTATCAAAGGGAATGAAATTAACGCATCTGGGAATAGCCTAGGCACTAGCCATCCAAAAGTTCAAACCCACGCTATGCATCCGAAAGAAAAACGTTCAACCCTTATCCCTGCCATGGCCATCATAACACAGGTAATTCCTTCAGTAATCACCATCCAATTGACTTTCTTATCCAAACCTCCTCCTGTTTATTCATGTTATTTTTAAGTTTTTCTTAATCCCTCCACTATTTTCACTACCATATTTTCAAATCCGAACTTCCTGTCTATTTTGTCATTTTATTATTCCTACATATTTAATCCCTGATTGCATAAACAATAATTCGTCGTCACATTGGTTATCATCCCACTAGATTTTGTTTTTATCCAAACATCCTGTCTATCTATTGTTGTTATTTCTACATTTCTAACCCCTAATTGCACACAATCAATGTCAATCTGTTCAGTAATTATGATCCTACTTTGTTTGAGTTTTATCTGTCCCACCACCCTGTTTACTGTGGCATTTTAATTCCTAATTGTATTTCTATAAACATGATCCTTCACTGGAAATTGTTCTGGAACTTTCGTACCCATTTATCATAAACACACGAATGAACAGCTGTTTAGTTGACGGTGACTTTGTCGCATAAAAAAAGTTTTCTTTCTCGCCGTAACCGTCTTTTTGTCTGCATCGATGAAACCCAGTCATCACATGATTTCTATCTGAGTTGAATTATAAATATCAAGTGACCAGTCCGGAGTTATTTTCGGCCCTTCTCGCCTTTAATTCTATAGCTATCTCACTTTATCAGTTATAACATTCGTATATTTATTTGGTGATGATATTTTTCTGAGCTGGATGATGATTTGCTTTCGACATTTTCATCGTCCTCCTTCTATAGATAAAATCACTTCAGCGTTCATCTAATTTTGAAATTGATTATTTGAGAATTTTTCATTAAATAGTCTAACTTTCCCTCCTGATGATTTTGAGTGATTGTCATAGATGTCTTAAGAAAATAAATTTAACAGCTTTTAATTGAATTTTAGATTTTCCCGTCGATTAATTGGACCGAAGTTCTCAGTCTCAGGTTTCAACGATGTCTGGGAAAATCTAAAATTCAGTTAAATAATAATTAATATGACTCGTGTTGCACAAGAGGTGGGGTGGCTCTCATCGCTCAAGTGATCTAGTGGATTAAGCTTTGGCTGGTGTGGTGTTTGAAACTATGGGCACTGGGTTCGAGCCTCAGTGGTGATGGTGGTGGTGGTGGTGGTGGGAACATCATCACTGACTCACTGACTGGGGAATGCAGGTACATCCAGCAAACTGACAAGTCTCAAATAGGAAGAAGGAAATTCGTGTTATCCTGGACTGGATTCCACTGCTAGTCACAATCCATAAATTAACTTTAAGAGCGATTTAGATTTTTATCATCACTACAAAACTTCCAATAATGCATTAATTTATTTTGTATTGCAATTGCTTCTCCGAGTGGAATATAGGCACACGCTATAGAATCAGGTTGGCCACAAAATTGATTTTGACAATATTGAAATCGTCATCCAGAAGAAACATTTCAGAAACTACAAGGAACGTCTCATATCATCATCAGAAGCACTTCATATCATCAAGTGGAATCCGAATTGTCTGAAGTGAAAAGAACTGGTGGACTAAAGCAGAATTTGCCTTGGTTACAACACCCCCAACCCCTCCCCCATGAACTGACAAAATCAACACGAATATGATAAGCAAGTTCACTATGTAAACACACACACACACAATGCTTTTATAATGTTACACACTGATCAAATCCAACAATCTACACACCTGGTTTTGTTATCTTTCCTAATTGACCGATTCGACAACGAAAAATGACCCCAGACAGACGAACAATAATCAAGTTAGTAAACTGTTTTTTGAAACCAGCCAGGGAAGATGTACTATTACCTCTGTCATTTGGTTAAGTGATCTTCATTGTTATTTTGACTTTCAATATGTCCTCCTTTTAACTTGACCTAAGTAGTTTATTTTCTCACCTCTTTACTCTTTGCTATAGATCTGCTGAGTGGATTTTGTAAAGTCTTCTGGTTTTAATAATACTGCTTTGATAAAGCTATTAGCAGTACCATTGAGTAGCGAAACGTCAGTCAGTAAGAGCAACGACAATATCGTTTTGTTTTTCATTCATTGGGAAATACAAGAACCTTTATTAAAATGAACATCATATACCATCCAATACCCGAACATTTTTCAAACTGTTATATATATATATATATATATATATATATATATATATATATATAATTTTGTCAACATTAGCAAACTCCCAATCAATCATGAATTTTTTTTCATTACCATCGCTTCTCTGACTGTTAAACATGGGCACGGAAGTTTGAGTTGATAATTCCATATTAGTTTTTTTACGAGATGTATCACACAGTCAGTGAGTGAAACAGTATTAGTATTACTTAGTGGATGACAAATTCCTTATTGTTCATAATCATTTCATCAATTATCAAGAAACATGCAACTTTGAAACTTGAGTTTTATAGTTTTCTTTGTTCGCACCCTATTAGTCGTGGTTATCGGGTTAGTAGAGTTTCCCAGATATCCAGCTGGATTGGTGTTATTAGTTGAATCATCATCTTATCCCATCCAACGTATTGTATGGTTGTGTGTGACTGACTGCATGTACTGAGTGGTATAACTGAATTATTCTCTGGATTTCTTATCTTATATGGGTCAACCAATCTAGATTTCGCTGTTAGGTTTTTATGCTTGGCTAGTCTGACTACACCTGTTCTACTAGTTTGACCCACCTATGTATTTGACCTGATAATCACTGAAGGCAGGGTATTAAATAAACTAAATTGTTTTGTTTTAAACGCTCTACAGGATTGATCCCCTGACTTACAAAGCATATTTCTGAGTGAGTTTGTGGTGTGGGGTTGAATTCCAGCCATATTTTATTCCTGCCTGCCCACGTTGTTTAAGAATTCACCTCTGTAAGGTGGTTTCCGAGGTTCCTTTTTTTGTATGGAATTACTACTGATGATTTAGATTCCTCATTGTTGATGTTGGTGGAAGGAACCTTGGAGACCACCTTACAGAGGAGAATTCTTAACAAGGTGGGCAGGCAGGAATAAAATATGGCTGGAATTCAACCCCACCCCACAAACTCAATTAGCGCTGGAGTCAGCATGGTTGCCAAGCATTCTATCACCTGGATCACCGACACACACACAATATATGCACTACATACACTTGAAGAAATCAACGCAACAATTAATAATAGCGATAGCAACAGTATTCATTGCTGAGATTTATTCAAAATTCAATCGAATTTGTTTTTTATCACAAGGGAAGGTACAAAGACAGAAGAAGAAGTAATGAAAAGTAGCCAGGGAAACAGCAATGGTGTCTCTCTGTTCTCCTCATTTTAGCGTATTCCAAGGTGTATGTAGATATATATATGCGTGTGTGTGTGTGTGCATGTACGTATACTAACTGGCATCTGTTCGCAATCAAACTGACAATTTGAAAAAAAGAAATTAGGTTCAAAGAGTAAAGCATCGAAGACAAAAACACATAAAAATGCATTTATTCTCCCCTCCTTTCCGATTCTCCCTTCCTACTTCCTTCTCTTTCTATCTCTCTGTCTCAGGACAGACAGTCGGATAAATGAGAAAAAAAGGCATATAGAATCAAGACGCGGAAAAAAAGAAAATAATTAATTAAACTAAATTTTTTTTCAATTGGGACCATAAAAATACACAGCATTTTACATCCCTGTATTGTATTATTGATGTAGGCACATGCAGGTGTATGGATTACAGTATGCACGTGTGTAGCAATGTGTACTAGTTCAGTAACAACACATAACTTACAGAGAAAAGACAAAAGAAACAAAGTCCTGAATAGTGATCACACACCAGTTTTTTGTTTTTCAACCAGTTATTAACACAAAATAACAAAAACAAAATGATTTGAAAACATGAAATTACAAAATGAAATTAAGTGAATAAACAAAAATAAATACATAGATAGAAAATCGCACCTAACAGGAAAGAAGGCGTGTCTTATTTGTTTGCAAAGTAAACGAAATCCTGTAAATCATTATAGACGACAATAATAAATAAATAAATAAACAAAATGAAAAACGCAATCAGAAGACAAATTATGTGGTCGACAAACTAAAAAGGCGAAATTCAATTTAAGAGAACAACTAACTGACTACTAACCAATTAACGCACTAACTAACCTTGTGGTCAGTCACTCCCATATATTATAACATACATCTTTCCAAAAAAGCAGGACTAAGAACTTGACTTCCTGAAAGTCACACTCATAGAAAACGGTTTGCTGTAACCGATTTATTGACGATTTCATTCTCAAAACCAGCTGTACAATCACATTTATATGCATCAAATTACATGAATACAATTATTATTTATTTATTTAATTCCATATAGTAACGAAAGAGATAATTATTTTCCAACTGGATATGAAAGTTTGAAGATATGAAGGTATAGATTACAAGGGGCTTAGAGCCAAGATTGCGTTGGAGGATTAGAAAACGCAGTTACAACATTCGCAAAATTAATGTTTGATAACTGGAGAAATAACAGTTCTAAAGACGAATGAAAGCTGACCATTATTTTCACCTTGATATGGATTACGGAGAGAGACGCTTAGACACAAAAGTTACGCGGGGATAGAACGAATTATACACGTGTGAACAAAACTCTAGGATTGGTATTCTCCTACCGTCCACTTCTTCTTCAGAGCAACGAGAAGGTCAGACTTCCTTCCGCATATGACTAACCACTTCATTGTGCATGTATCAATCAGTTCACCTGCTCTTCCGGAGCTAGGTACATAGGTCGTTCTATCCGGGTGTTATCCAAACGTGTAAAAAGAACATCATCCAGTATGGCTACCAAAAAATTAATTAAAATAAATTTTTTTTTTCAGCACAATAAAATACACAACATTTGAGATAAATCCCTGTATTTTTGATGTAGGCACATGCAGGCGCGCGCAGTACAATATGCATGTGTGTGTAGCACAGTGTACATTAGTGCAACTACACATAAAATAAAAAGAGAAAAAAGAAACCTGAATAGTGATCACACCCCAGTTTTTTGTTTTTGTTTTTCAGCCAGTCAATAACAGCAACAATAAGGCAAACAAAGAAAGTAATTCAATAGACAAATAAAAAAGATAGAAGGACACCGATCAGCAAAAAGAAGGCGTGTCTCATTTGTTTCCAAAGTAAACGAAATCCTGTAAATTGTAGAAGACAATAATAAACAAACAAATAAATAAATAAATAAAAAGAAAAACGCACCCAGAAGACAAATTATGTGGCTGATAAACAATAAAGGCGAAATTAAAAGAAAACAATAACTTTGAAACAACAACTAACTTACTTGCTAACTAACGCACTAACTATCTTTGCGGTCAGTCACTCCCATATATTATAACACACATCTTTCCAAAAAAGCAAGACTAAGATTTTGACTTCCTGAAAGCCACACTCATAGAAAACGGTTTGCTGTAACCGATTTATTGACGATTTCATTGACAAATAAAAGATGGTTAGCGGCATTATAAGTCCGTTAAATCCCTCTCGATAATCTCAGATGTAAGATTTAACTATTAACCACGTCTCCATTACATTGCGGTTTCATGAAGAGTTGTTTCCTTCTTTTAACTGTCTTGACGGTTTCTCTTCTTGTTATTGTACCTGATGTCCATGTGTCTGTCTTCTTACAAATCGACTAGGATACCCCACGTGGACCAGCGCATATTTTGGATGTAGTATCCTAACACATTTTCTAGGGAGTCATCTTGACAGATACGTCTTCCTGTATTCGTGAGGTGGAATCTCACAAAATTGATTTTTTTGTATCGTATTGGTACAAAACTGAGGAAATGTGTATTGTACTGTATTGTATTGTCCTACAGATGTAGGTTTTCTATAGACACCTACCCGTCTTGAGTGAACCATCTAGTCTGTCTTCTGCTCAACTGGACGTCTAAGAATTGTAGTCTGTCATCATGTTCTTCTTCTTCTTCACAAGTGAAGATGCGCGATAGATATGTAGACATCATTCAATTTTATTAACATTTCATTCTTGTCATCTTTCACATCGTATATATCATCAAGGTAACGAAAATAAGAATCAGTTTTATCGATTACTTGTTTCAACGGATCATTTTCAAGCTCAGCAAGAAATAAATCTGCCAACCGAAATTGGCCCCAATGGAGAACCATCCATGGCGATACCATCGATTTGTCTGTAATATAGGTCATTGAATGTGAAGTGTACATTATTCATCGTACATCTTAAAAGCAACTCTTTTATAGACTAATAACTGGAATTCCGATGTCGAACTGTTTTTTTGCTAGTATCTGTTGGCGTATGAATTCCATAGTCTCCATAAGTGGTACCTTTGTTGAACAGTGATGAGACATCTAAGGATAGAATTCGCACTAATTTCCAACAATTCAATCAGGTAGTAAAGCATAGGTTTTTACAATTTCGCATCTGTTTTCTGATATTTTTCGGTTTATCGCATTAAAATGACCTAGTTAACTGGAAATATGTCCTTTTATACGAAGTCTTTAAACGTAAAACAGAACTATGGGATCAATTCATCTGTGAATTATTCAATGGTCAACAGGTGATGGAGGTTTGTTAACTCATGGTGAATTCTTAAAGCTTACTTCATACTGAAGCCTGTGCTGAAGATATCTGTTTATGTCTAGAAAAGAACAAGAACACGTTTAGCAAAGATGGCGATCTTTTCAAGAATTTCATTCTCGAAACCACCTGTGCAATCGCATTTGTATACAACATTAGTTTACATGGATGCAATTATTATTTGTTTATTCAAGTAATGGTTTGTAGGGATTTGGTTGATTGGTTACAGGATTTGATCATCAGCTGACATCAGTCAGAGAACCATTGAAAAACCTGGGAGTACTTAACAGCTGTTTCGTCCTAGTTTGGGACTCTTCATCAGTACGCACCTACCGGGAATCGAACCCAGGTCCTTCTGGTTACAAGGCGAGTTCGTATACCATTAAGTTACTAGGACCCGGTCCAATGGTTCTTGAATTCTAACTTCTGCCAACTCACGATATAGCGCAACTACTAGCCAATGTCTTCGGCGAGCATTTGTCTTCACACCCGACCTGCTGGAGCCTACTGGTCACGACTTCCCACTGGAACCTCAGGCAACTGCCAACCTGAATAAGGCCAGTCGCCAGTGAGCATCTCATTTCATTCTCAAAACCACCTGTACAATCACATTTATATGCATCAAATTACATGGATACAATTATTATCTGTTTAATTAATTCCACATAGTAACGAAGGAGATAATTATTTTCAACTTGGTATGAAAGTTTGAAGGTACGAATATAGATTATAGATTCTGTCTGTCTGTCTGTTTTCGACATAGAACTTTGCACAAATGTGCGGAAGTTCGAGTCGCCACATTCCGTGTAGCACGCGAAGCAAGAGAAGAAAGTACAAGAAAAGCATAATAGAAACAGTGAGCAGAGGTGTGAGACAAAGGAGTAATAAAGAAACACAAAACAGTTTCATTGAAGATCATAAGTCACAGGGAGTGGATGCATCTGCGCCACTGAGAACGGTTTTGAGCCATGTCACCAATTGTTTCCAACCATAGATTTTTACCGTCCCGAGGACCCCAGCCTGGAAGTCTACACCTTTCTACGTGGCTTAGACCAACTGTTGTGGATTTCATTGACTGATGCCAAGTTTTTGTTTGACCGCCGCTAGCTTTTTTCCAGCCTGACCCTATATCCGCTAACATTGCTCTTCGGTCGAGGGAGGCGATGGCTTGGCATACGTAACACATGTCCTAACCATCTCAGTCTTTGTAGCTTCACGACTTCGTCGATTGATTTCCCCTGTTTACCTAGAACTCTACGCCTAACCTCCATGTTGCTCACCTTATTATGCCACTTTACACGGGAAATAGAGCGCAGGCACCTATGATCAAAGACAGCTAGTCTTTTCATGTCTTCCACTCTCAGTGGCCAGGTCTCACAGCTGGCCATAAAGGAGGACGGAGCGGACTGATGAGCAGTACACCCGCCCTTTGGTCGATAGTCGAACATCTCGTCTACGCCAGAGTCGGCGTAAACTAACAAATGCGAAACGAGCCCCTTGTATTCGTGCTGAGATTTCGTCAGAGATCAGCCCGTTAGGGCTGATGGTACTTCCCAAATAAGTGAAGCGGTCAACGTGCTCTACCACTTCACTTCCTATTTTTAAACTAGGCGTCGATGTAGTCCAGTCCTGTAACATCATCTTGCATTTGGCGGGAGCGAATCGCATGCCAAACATTCGTAGATTGCGGCTCAAGGTGTTTAGAAGACTCTGCATTTCGTCAGCGTCTTCGCCTAGAAGGACTATATCGTCTGCATATTCCAAGTCAACGAGATTATTCCCTGGTAGCAAGTCAAGGGGCTAAGAGACAAGATTGCATAGGATTAGATAAAACAGTTACAACGTATGCAAAACTGATATTTGATAGGTGGAGGAACAATAATTTCAAAGGCGAATAAAAGGTGACCATTTTTTCAACTTGATATGGATTACAAGAGGCTTAGAAACAAAAGTTATGCGGGGATAGAACGAATTAAAGGTGTGTACAAAACTCTAAGCGTGACATCCGTATCCACCCAATACTTTGGACCAACGGAAAGGACAGACTTCCGCATATGACCACTTCATTGTGCATATATCACTTCACCTACTCTTCCGGAGCTAGGTACATAGGTCGTTCTATCCGGGTGTTATCAAAACGTGTTAGAGAACATCATCCAGCATAGCTACAAAAAGGAAACACTGGTTCAATCAGAAGCGCCATAACTGAACACCTCGTCAATACGTGTGACAGAATATCAACTGACTCATCATTCAGAGTGATTTACAAAGTAAACAAAAGTCTACCAAAGACAGTCAGTGTGTTTCCAATTTCTTTGTACTTCGAAAGCTCTCGAAAGCCGGAGCTATGTGTTCAAAAGAAACTAGTCCAGCCTTTACGACTACCATGGACCTAGTTCGGTATGCTCCCTTATCCTTCAGTTTTTTTTTTGTTTTGTTCTCTGTGTGTGTAATTTTCTCTCTTTGTCTTCATTCAATTCATCCTATTTCTTTTCAGTTATAAAATCAGGTATTTTAAGTTTGTTCCTCCTGATCACGCTTGTATTCCATTTTAGAATTATATTCTCATCCTGTGTAATTTCTTGTTTCTATGCCTCTTGTAATCTATATTCACTCACACACCACCTAACTTACAATTCAAGTTTTAAAAATTTTGATTTCATTTGGTTTCGATGCTCATTTCTTTCACATCTGTAATTCGTTCTATCCCCACGTAACCTTCCTCTCTAAGCCTATACAATTTCATTTCAAGTTGAAAATAATGGTCACCTTTTATTCGCCTTTGAAATTATTGTTCCTCCACCTATCAAATATCAGTTTTGCATACGTTGTAACTGTTTTATCTAATCCTATGCAATCTTGTCTCTAAGCCCCTTGTAATCTATAATCTATATTCGTACTTTCAAACTTTCATATCAAGTGGAACATTATTATCACCTTTGTTACTATGTGGAATTAGTTAAACAAATGATAATTGTATCCATGTAAACTAATGTTGTATATAAATTCGATTGCACAGGTGGTTTTGAGAATGATTTCGCTGAACAGATAGCCATCTTTTCTGAACTTCTTGTTCTTTTCAATCTAATGTTCCAATGGGCATTTTCCACGATTTATTGACAGTAACATAAAAAATAACTAGTCTAAACTGGTCATTAACTGAGTTCCAAAGGAATTCAATGTTAATGAAGCTTCAGGTATGTCCAAAAACCGTGTCTCTCTAAATCAATCAGTAAGATGTTCTTTGCAGCAAAATGACAAATAGAGTTCACCAGCCTCAAGTTGTTCTCCATATCTGTAAAAGATAAGCTCCCCCATCTGGCCGCCTCCATGTGCATCTATCAGTTCACCTGATCCTCTTGTGGAGCAAGGTACATTGGCCGTAGTCAGAGGATGCCGCTTTCTACACGGATACGAGAACATATTCCAGCAGTACGTTTTTACGAGACAGAAAGGAAGAGTGTGTGCGAAGCTCTATTCAGGAACACCTGATTGACTTTTGCCACTACACACCATCGCTCACCGTGATTTTAAGCTCATATACAGAATCCATGCTAACTCACCGTCCCCATTTTC